CATTCGTGTTTCAACCGTAAAGCAGTTGTGTTTGCATGGCTGTGTTTCGGTTTGAAGGGTGGGATATAGCGTGAATTTACAGGGTACAGAGAATAACACCTGAGTCCTCAGGAATGGTAACGCATGAGGGGTATCATGGGCGAAACAGTATACTCTGTTATGTGCATAGTACTGCTCATGTCTATAGGCGACGGTTATCATTTTCCATCAGGTGAACCGTCAGCTTGTTTGCCATTCTAATTTGTGAAAAAACACAATGACTCCCAAAGAAACACTTTCTTGAAATTTCGAGAACAACCTGTAGAAGATTATAAATATTTATTAGTAGCTGTGTGATCCTGGCATGAATGGGCATCCTTTTCTTTCCCATGAGTGTCGTAAGAGGTGATTAAGGGATTTTAATGATCAGAGGATTGGCAGCAGCGTTTCTTTTAAAACATCTCTGAAAGTCTAACTGCTGTTGCCAACCCGCCCGCTAAGCGTGACAACTACTGGCAAAACTTCCTTTATGCCGAAGATCTATGTCCAGCAGTGGACTAATTATCCACTCTTGTACATATACTGCTGCTGCTACGGCTGAAATTATGATTGAGATGTTATGATTTGGACTATTACGGCTTGCGTTGAAGTATCCGGCGGAAGTAAGCCTGTGGTACACACCAAGTGATTCACACCACTTATTATACGAAACGCTAGCCATTATTTTAATTTCCCACTAATAATAGTGCCGCTCATTGATGGTATACACGATGTGGTGTTTTTCTTTAATTGTGACGTGGCTTGTCTAACCCTACATTAATAATATATGTAATATACTATTATATATACTTCTGACTGTATCTTCTAGCATTGTCTGTATTTTTTTAATGTATGATAATAGAATGGTAACCGGGCGGGAAATGGCGGGGCACCAGTGAAGGATGATAGGTGAGGAAGAAACAGGTTAGTTAGCCCATCGTGATAAATTCAACAAGAATAGTTCACGATGGTTTCCAGGGGTAACAACGTGGAATGAGGCATATTGCTAGCAATGGGGCTGTCAAACTCCATTTTAAAAGAAAGATTGTCTGTATTATATGTATTAATTCCATTATATGCTTATCTCATCCATTTTACTCTACCTTCCCTGTTGCGATATTGCAACACGAGGATAGGCTAGTGACTGCATCCATACACGGTAGACCGTCTGCGCTCTCTTACGTATAGATTTGCCAACTCTTTTCGTAACAATGTGGAATGGCTTTTCCCGTGACCTATTTTAAAAGAAAGAAAGAAGGAAGGAAGGAAGTAAGAAACTTTATTTTACAGAAATATGCGATTATACTCACACAGGGGTTAAAAATTTTTATTAAGATTTATAATAACGAAACTACATACAAAATATTTACTTCATCCTGTGACCTTGGATCCTTTAAACGTAACGTGGAAGAGCCTTCGTGAGCCGGCATAGTGCGGCCGACCGGTGAATGAAGGAATGAATGAATAATTACCAGTAGCAGATCTTAAAATTAATTACAATTGTTTAGCAATATTTACCATTACGTAGGTGTGTAAATTTTTTTTTTACAATAACTAAAATTTTATTTGTTATACAACTTAGAATGGCAAGCAAGCTGACGGCCCACCTGATGGTAAGTGGTAACCGTCGCCTATACACATGAGCAGTACCATGGATCCATGTTTCGCCTATGATACCCCCCTTGCGTTGCCATTCCTGAGGACTCACATGTTATTCCTCTGTACCCTGTAAATTCACGCCATATCCCACCCTTTAAACCGAAACACAGCCATGCAAACACAACTGATTCACGGTAGAAACACGAATGGGACAGAGGTACCCAAGCAATCGATTTTTGTACAAAGTCTCCCTCTGGTGAGAGTAAAATAATATAGTCATAATAACATTAACAAAATTAATTAAGAATGGAACTTTCTTTTTTCGGTTAGTCGTATTCACGGACCACGCCGTCTCTGTGGTCGCTCAGGATGATGTGGTCACATGTCGTGTTGTAATAAAAAAAAAATCTAGCCAATCTAGGCTATAGACTAACGGTGTAAAAAAACTTCATTTTTTTTTAATAGGTGAAAATGGCATAGCTCCGCAAACACAATTGTATACACTGGCGGAGAAACACGAATGGGATAATAGGTGAGAATGAAAAGGCAGGTTAGTACAAAGCCTAGTTAGAGAGAGTAAAATAATATACCAGTAGCGGATCGCTGTCGTTGGAGATTAAAGTACTTACGAACCCATGTCTCCGACATATGGCACCTCCAGGGTATATCGTCTGGTTTTTGGTTGGCACAATCCCATTGCGGGGGCAATATAGTAACCATTCACCTCCCACGCGGTTGGGTCTGCATAAAGCATTTTGCAGACGTTAAAAAAAAAGGTTAGTTAGCCTATGGTGACGAATTCAACGATAAATTAGTCACGACAGTTTTCAGGAGGGACCACGTGGAGGTCGATCCGGGTGTATTGAAAGCAATGGGGACAACAAAAAAAAAACAATAACATTGCTGTTATTGTTAATATTCCATTTTACTCCAGGATATCATGAGAGGCAATGAAAGGAATAAAGCCATGTTACACCAATACAAGGGAGGGAAAACTCGAAATAAAATCCCAATAATAAGCTGCCTGGTAAAGGTGGTAATAACAGGTAAATAACCTACTTATATGAGTTTCCTATCTTATTCTGTGGACTTACATCCTTATTTATAAAAACTAAAATCTTCAGCAAACCGTTTTTAACTTTTTTTATACTATTAGAACAAATAAAGGTGATTTGTAACCGTTGCCTATAGACATGAGCAGTACCATGGACATAACCGAGTATACTGTTTCGCATATGATACCCCCCATGCGTTGCCATTCCTGAGGACTACCCAAGTAAAAAACAGTTCAATAGATAAACTAATTGACTAGTGCCATGCCAGTGCAGGCGAGCAGGGGGGAGGAAGGGATTGTTAGTAATGGAGACTGAGAATCCCATTGCTAGCAATATACTCAACCATGTCGACCTCCTCGCGGTTCCCCCTGGAAACTATCATGGTTAATTCCTGATGAATCCATCATGATGGGCTGACTGGCCTGTTTTCATTCTCATCTATCACCCTTCACTGGTGCTGCGCTAGCGTATCCCGTTAGCGCAGGCGGGGTTACCATACCATTTTCACCCATAAAAAAAAGCGCAGGCGGGGTAACCATTCCATTATCACTATTTAAAAAATATTTAACTGTCCACTGCTGAACATAGACCTCCCCTTGAAGGGTTTTACCAGTAGTTACCACGTTTGGCAGCATTAGTAACAATAATTATGTGAAAATGAAAATTCCATTACAGTACTTCAAATTATAAAATCCAACGATCTAGGGGTTAATTTTAACCAAATTTTTAGAGATCGTTAACCACTAACGATTCCAAATTACAATTACCGTTTGCGTATAAATTTTTGCGTAAAATACTCGTAGGTAATTAGGTACCCACTTTCATTTATGTAAATTCAACCAATTAACGTAATTGGAGCTTGTATGGTGCTGTAAATCAATTTAAATTAAGTTTTTAATGTTATACCATTTAATACGAAAGCCTCTAAATTGGTTTAATCACAAATTATGTGTGTGTTGTAATTTTGTTATCTTAAATAAAACATTTGTTGGTATCTTTTTCATTTTATATATAACTAGCGACCTGCCCCGGTTTCGCGCGGGTGGACATTTTTACAACATTTTAAAAAGTGTTCATTGTGACATAACGATAATAGTTGGACATATAGTATCGCGAAGTTTTTTGTAGTTATTGATATTTTCTTCAATATTGTAGAACATACTTTTGTTCTATCACCAATAGTTTCCGCAGCGAACGCGACGAAAGGTAAGCCGTCAGCTTGTTTGCCATTCTAAGTGGCATAAAAAAAAATATGTGGACGGTAATTAATAACTCTATTGTGGCAACTGTTAGAGTTAATAGTGTTGGTTTGTTGAAATGGAGTTACGCTATCCGTCATTCGTATGTTTCCACAGGAATTTCCTCTCGAGAAAGTTTCCTTAACGCACAGACTTTGTGTAAAAAGTTCCTTCAGTTGCAGACGTCTATAAACTATGTCGCCCGTTTCTTGTTTTTAATGGGCGAAAATGGAATAGTAGCACCGCCTCGCCAGTGTCAACCGATAGCACAGGTGGGGTTACCATTACATTATCATAAAAAAAAAGAAATATCCGGGTGGGATTAGGTTAGAAGCATTCAAACCGTCAATCATTTCTGTTCGGAATCTTGTCGGCATTCCATTACTGTCGTTGCCGAACTGAGAAGAGATCTATATAAACTCAAGACCAAGGACAATTCAAATGGAAGTAATAGTATTCTTAGAATGCATTTGTATAAATCTTTCAGAATGTTATCAACGCGGATGTCGTGGGAAAATAGAGGCAAATAATGTCGCGGTAGACGAGAATGTAGTTGGATTTAGGCATTTTCGCGGAACGTAAATATTATCCAACTAAACTATGTATTTGGAAAACAAAAGAAAAGATAAAATTTAAAAAAAAATCTATAAAAAGAATGGATAATTAATTAAATCTGATTCACATAACACCATTCAATAGAATCTTTATTTATTTATTTATTTAAGGAACACCAACAGCATATTGCATTATAACATATAGGTATAACAAACATTAAATACAATACAATATTAATGCACACGCCTATTAAAGGTATTCACAGCATTCACTTTAACATAGTTATACAGTGCGAGAAAATGAAGTAAATAATCTTACTCTAATTAAACTAATTTGTTCACATATAAAAACCTAATATGGGTTTGTTATTTACCAGATCATTCTCACGATATCCACTTACCACCCAATTTGTGACGTTTCCCAGGGGGACGTCACTTAGTTGAGCACGACGTGGGTGAAGTTTCATTTATAGAGGCTTATTGAAAAACTTTTAGAATACTCTAGTATTAAATATAGAACGTTGTATTAGCTGATGAATGATATATTAGAAGTGACAGAGGGAGACTGTACAAAAGTCGATTGCTTGGGTACCTTTGTCCCATTCGTGTTTCAAACGTGAAGCAGTTGTGTTTGCATGGCTGTGTTTCGCTTTGAAAGGTGGGATATGGCGTGAATTTACTGGGTACAGAGGAATAACACCTGAGTCCTCAGGAATGGCAACGCATGGGGGGTATCATGGGCGAAACAGTATACTCTGTTATGTCCATGGTACTGCTCATGTCTATAGGCGACTGTTACCACTTTCCATCAGGTGGGCCCCCAGCTTGTTTGCCATTCTAAGTTGTATAAAAAGAAAAGTTATTGTCACTACGAATAATTTTGGTAACTTCAATTAATTTATTAAACCTACATATTAATAGATATTTTATGCACGGATTTCTATTACATTTTATTAATACATATGAACTTTTGAATTTCTTTTTTTTATACCACTAATGTGGCAAACAAGCATACGGCCCACCTGATGGTAAGTGGTTACCGTAACCTATGAACGCCTGCAATACCAGAGGTATTACGCGTGCGTTGCCGACCCTGAAGAAATCTCTTTACCCACCTTTTGAAGAACCCCATGCTGTAGTCTCTTGGGAAAACCTTGACAGGGAGCTCATTCCATAACCTGAGTTATTTTATAATATTAATGATTACTATAAGTTAATTTGTAATATGTATTTTAGTAAATTTATTAATTTATTAAATATTATGTGGGGAGAGCACGCAGTACTACCGCCTCTCCGGGTGAAAGAGTCAATTGATTTTCTTCTATTAATGATCTGAAACAAATATTGAGGAATAGTGCTTTGATCGCTAACATTTAATATTTAAAATTTAACAAAGTTAAGTAAAGTTATTTAACAAAATATTTAACAAAGTTTCACGTGTCAGTAGATGTGCGAAGATTTGTGAGAGTGATCATTGTTTCTTTCGAGATAGAAAAATAAATTAATATTTAATTTTAAAGGAAGAAAAAGCAAGAACTACAGTTTAGATTATATATGGTATACATTTATACACACGCTTTTTTTTAATAAGAGAGTAGATAGATAGTTTTATTCAATATATATATAGTAGAAGTAGAGTAGTAGTAGAATTATTGAAAGTAATTTTATTTTATGTACAACTTACTCTTGTAATTTGTCAGACTGTATGCTAGAAATGTAGACTACAGCGGGTAGCTGAAGGTCCTTTATTCTCCTCAAATCAACAGTATCAATCTCTTCACTGACGTTAAATATCAGCACCAGGGTATCATAGCCGTGAAGACTCCTCACCAGGTATAGGGTGTGGATTGTTAGCGCCCTCACGTGGTACTGACCATGGGACAACGTGGGCTCTTTGCGTAGGGCTGTCAATGCTTGGTATACCTGCAGTTATGTACAGAAGGAAAATTTATATTTTTTTTTCTTAAATATACAAAAATAAATCTTATATATAAATTTTTCTTAAATTTCTCCTCCATCCGTTTATAGACACCATCCAGTTACAGTTTTATTATACTGGTATTATTAAGATATATAAGTTCTTCTTAATTTAATTTTGGCTAAGTGATAACATTTGTTGTGTATGTATGGTTGCCGTGTAACCCTGGCATAGAGGGGGGAAAGGAATTGTTAGTAATGGAGACTAAAAATCCCATTGCTAGCAATATACCCAACCAGGTCGACCTCCACGTAGTTCCCCCTGGAAACTATCATGGTTAATGATCATCCTGATGATTCATCATGATGGGCTAACTGGCCTGTTTTCATTCTCATCGATCACCCTTCACTGGTGTTCCGCCAGCGTATCCCGTTAGCGTAGGCGGGGTTACCATTCCATTTTTATCCACCAAAAAAAACCCCGACATAGAATAGGCCACCCCTTCCTATCCCGTGTGTGTCGTAAGAGCAAGGGAGGGCGAGGGATGGGCAGCAGTGTCCCTTTTAAGACATCTCCAAAACCTAACTGCGGTTGCCATTCCACCTGCCAAGCGTGGCAACTACTGGCAAAACCTCCCCAATAGGGGAAGGCCAATGTTCAGCAATGGACGGTTAACGGGTGATGTGATGATGAGAACATTAGTATATTAGAAATTTGACTTTTGCTATCATCACGATAAGCTTTAAATATAACTTATTTTTTATGCAACTTAGAATGGCAAACAAGCTGACGGACCATCTGATAAAAAATGATAACCGTCGCCTATAGACATAAGCAGTATCGTGGACATAACAGAGTATACTGTTTCGCCCATGATACCCCCCATGCGTTGCCATTCCTGAGGACTCAAGTGTTATTCATGTGTACCCTGTAAATTCACTGGCATATTCCACCCTTCAAACCGAAACACAACTGCTTCACGGTAGAAACACGAATGGGACAAAGGTGCCCAAGCAAACGTCTTTTGTATAAAGTCTCCTTCTGGTAACTACTAATAACTTACTTTATAATGACTTCTTTCATCTTCTTTCTGCTTTGCAAGGTTTAACTCTAAATAGTCTTCAGCGATGGGCAGCCAGGTGGTTTCATTGGTGGAGAAACCAGCACTCGTTGAGTTATCCCAGTGGAAAGGTGTCCTGGCTGGGTCTCGAGAAAACAGAAGATAGGTCTCGTTATTTCCTTTGTTGATAGCTTCCACATCCACCGTGTCTTCCCAACTCACGTACCCGTCCCTCATGCCTATTTCCTCACCCTGGTATGTGACAGCTACTCCAGGCAGCATCATGTTGAGCGAATTCAGGCCGTCCACCATGTCTGATCGGAATCTGGTCGGCATTCTGTTGTTGTCGTGGTTTCCAAACTGGAAAATTTGGAGATGTTTTGAATTTTGAATAGAACTTAATAGGGATGGGAAATAACAGAATTCATTTTTGGTATAAATTTGCCTAATAAGATCATCAAAGTTACTGTTTAACACTGAAATAGTGAATGATTAAAGACACTATATGTAATTATATGAAAGAAGCATTTATGTAACTTTCTTTTGCAAAAAAGGAGTGGGATATGGTAGTAAAATTACAGGGTACGGAGGCATTTTAATCCTTAGGAAAGACTGCATGACAGGTACTATGGATATCATAGTGTATTTTGTAATGTCCATGGTGCTTGTTTAACAGGCGAAGGTTTCCACTTTCCATCAGATTATTTGCCATTCTATAATATCATAAAAACCACTTACCACCCAGTTAGAGACTGCTCCATACGGCTGGTACGTGAGCCATTTGAGAATCGTGTAAACGAAGTCTCTAGCATCGGATTCTGCAGTCAAGTCCGTGATGAAGTCGAAATTGAAAGGAAAGTGAGCCCCCAAACGGCCATCTTTATTTTTGTAATACAGCATTGTCATTGTAATATTTGTATAGCCTTCAGAAAATATAATCCTAAAAGATAATACTATAGTTGCATAAAAGAGCATATTCCTTTTTAAAAAGCCCACAGCACACCTGTAATGCCGTTAGTGTTGTGGGTGATCATGGGCGGCGGTAGTCACTTACCATCAGGTGATCCGCATGCTTGTTTATAAAAATATATATAATGGAATTTTCTACTATTTATAAACATTTTTTTTTTATTTATTTATTTAGTAAGTGTAAATTACTCACTTCACTTAGAGTTTCCTAAAATATGTAGTGAGCTATAGGTTCATTTTACAAAGTAAAAAAATTATATAAAAAAATCTAATTTTATATTATGTAAAGCACAGTAAACCAGTGTATGGGAGAAAGAGATTCTAAGTATTGTCTCACTGATTGTTAGCAATATAAGGTATATTGTTCAGGTCAACTTTCACGTAGTTCCCCCTGGAAACCATCGTGGTTATTTATTGAATGTATCAGTATGGGCCTGAATTGATCTGCTTCATCATCATTTATCTATCATATCTCACTGGTAGGTCTCACTGATTTTTGTTGCCCACGTTTCGACCAGTAATTTTTATAGTTAAGTCCTGATAGTGTATTTAAAAAAAATCTTTCTTACCGAGTATCACCACCGTGCACTTCATTGTATTCGTCTATAAACTCTCTCCATTCATAAACTATGTCATACAATTCAATCAGATCTTTTGTATATATTGTACACAAATAACCAGGTTGGTGTGGTTCATATTGGGTCAGTCCACAGTGTGGTTCATCAGGATATAAACCACCATGGTCAGCAGGGTCAGCTTCCATCAGATACGGCAATGCGTCCAATCTAAAGCCATCAGCTCCTTTGTCAAGCCAGAATTGTAATATCTTGTACATCTCTTTTTTCACCTCTGGATTTCTGTAGTTGAAGTCAGCTTGCTGAATTGCAAACTGGTGAAGGTAGTATTTTTGGCGATCATCATTCCATTCCCACGCTGAATTAGCAAATACGCTAATCTGGAATTAAATAATCAGCCGTTAACAGTTTATTGTTGAACATAGGCCTCTCTTGGGAGGGAGCGGATTTTTTTTTATACAACTTAGAATGACAAACAAGCTGACGGCCCACCTGATGGAAAGATGGTACAGACCCAGGTACAGACAGTACCCTGTAAATTCACTCCATATCCCACCCTTCAGACCGAATCACAGCCATGCAAACACAACTGCTTCACGGTTGAAACACGAATAGGACAGAGGTACCCAAGCAATCGACTTTTGTACAGTCTCCCTCTGGTAAGTACTGGATTGCCAGTAGTTGTCACGCTCGGCAGAAGGATTGGTTGGCACCGGAGTTAGGCTTTGGTGATATTTTAAGAGAGACATTAGTATGTATTGATTTCGGTATGCAGAAATTCGTTATGGGGTCTGGTCTAATCATATGAAGTAAGAAGAACTATCTGTTATAATAACCCATAATTTTATTAATGCACCGATTTCTCGATAGGTGAGAATGAAAGCAAGTTATCTTATCAGCTTACCGTGACAAATTCAGTAGGATATATTGCTAGCAATGGGGCTGTTTTATTCCATTACTAACAATCCTTTTCGTCCCAGTCTAAGGGAGTTAAGGTAAAGATAAAAGTTAGATCATACCCAATTGGATGGTGGAAGTCTGTTAGTTTCATTTACAGGGTCCACCCACCGTGGGTCTGCCCATACGAAGTAATCTTTGTACGTTTCATTGTTAGCTGCGGACTGGATGAAGTATTCAGAAGAAGTGCTCGCGTGGTTCGGTACAAAATCCAATAGAACTTTAATTCCTGGAAAAAAATTCTAAGTCCATGTCTTTGCTTGCTTAAGTTTGGATAAAATATAACCTATAAATATAAAGATAAAATATAAAATATTATAAAAGATTGCATCCTTTTAATTTAAATTTTTATGATTTTGGTTTAATAACATTTGTTTTTTTTTTACAACTTAGAATGGCAAACAAGCTGACGGCCCACCTGATAGAAAGTGGTAACCGTTGCCTATAGACATGAGCAGTACCATGGATATAACAGAGTATACTGTTTCGCCCATGATACCCTCCATGTATTTCCATTCCTGTGGACTCAGGTGTCATTTCTCTGTACCCTGTAAATTCACGCCATAGCCCTTCAAACCGAACCACAGCCATGCAAACACAACTGCTTTACGGTTGAAACATTAATGGGACAGAGGTATCCAAGCAAACGACTTTGTACAAAGTCTCCCTCTGATATCTGTTTATTTAAATATCTCTATTGACCAAAAGAAAATACGAGTATATTACAAAAGGCGGAGTTAACGCTAGTAGCATTCTCTACCAGTCAACCTTTGGGATGAATTGTGAATCACGGATCCGGTACTTCATTATTGGGGTACATAACATTAGTGAGGTAATAATGGACTTTTATTTGCAAGTGTTAGTTTCTCGCATGGATTATGTTATAAAAGGTCGGAACTTTATGTTACATGTATTGTTTTTACTTAATATGAGGTTCCTACCTCCTTTATTAATGGAATTTAAAATTATATAAAATTTTATTCAATTTCATTCCATTTCATGACATTCTATTGCATTTCATGTTATTCCACTCCGTCTTATCCTATTTCATTTCATAAACCTATTGCTTTTCGTAAAAGTCGATCCTCAATTGGACAATTTTCTAAATAGTTTCAGAGTGTGCAGAGATGTACTTCCGTATTGTTGTTACCCAGTTTCTCCAACTGGTTGGTTCCCAAACTGGTAATAGTTTGAGGATCAGTTAATTGGCATGTTTCTATAGCCTATTTGTATAAATAAAAGACGTTTGCTTGGGTATCTCTGTCCTATTCGTGTTTCAACCGTCAAGCAGTTGTGTTTGCATGACTGTGTTTCGGTTTGAAGGGTGGGATATGGTGTGAATATACAGGGTACAGAGGAATAACACCTGAGTCCTCAGGAATGGCAACGCATGGGAGTATCATGGGCGAAACAGTATACTCTGTAAAGTCCATGGTACTGCCCATGTCTACAGGCGACGGTTACCACTTTCCATCAAGGTGGCCGTTAGCTTGTTTGCTAGTTATATATATATATATATATATATATATATATATATATATATATATATATATATATATATATATATATATATATATATATAAAAGGACAAGATCACAAATATACGATCAATTAGCTATATCGAGTTAATCCAAACATTTTACTCGTAAATATCGAGTAATATTAGAATATTTTCAAATATTACCGATAATATGATTCTAGGAAAGCTATATTGATGTTAAATATAATTGCTTTTAGGTAATTTGATTCTGGAAAAGTTTGTAGATTACAGTTTCTGTGTATTGATTGTTTAGGCTTGGCTTACATATTTAGCGCGTACCTTGGATCTTGTGCGGTTGCTTTTATAACTATTTCTGTCTTGGATTTGATTTATTTGTTTTATGCTTAAACTAAAAATTTTTTTTATACAACTTAGAACGGCAAACAAGGTGACGGCCCACCTGATGGAAAGTGGTAACCGTCGCCTATAGATATGAGCAGTACCATGGACATAACAGAGTATTCTGTTTCGTCCATGATACCCCCCCATGCGTTGCCATTCCTGAGGACATCAACATCATCATATATCATCATATTTTTTTTGTAATGGGTGATAATGGTATGGTAACCTCGTCTGCGCTATCGATATACACTGGCGGGGCACCAGTGATAAATGACTAATGAGGATGAAAGCAGGTCAGTTAGCTCATCGTGACGAGTTCAACTAGAATTAGCCATGATGGTTTCCAGGGGGTACCACGTGGATGTCGATCTGACAGGGTATATTGCTAGTAATGGGGCTATTTGACCCCATTACTAACAATCCCTTTCCTCTCTATATCATCATATCATCCTTTAACTGCCCAATGCTAAACATAAGTTTCCCTCTTGGAGGGTCTTGCCAGTAGATGTCATGCTTGACACCCTTCCTTACTTGGCTTTTACGACACTCACAGGAAAGGAAGGGGTGGCCTATTCTATGCCAGGACCACACGGCCAAACAGCATCATATCATTAATTAACTGTCCACTACTGAACATAGGCATACCCCTGTTGGGGGAGGGGGGAAGGGATTGTAAGTAGTGGAGACTGAGAATCCCATTGCTAGCAGGTCGACTTCCTCGCGGTTCTCCCTGGAAACTATCATGGTTAATTCCTGATGAATTCATCATGATGGGCTAACTGGCCTGTTTTCATTCTCCTACCATCCTTTACTGGTGCTCCGCCAGCGTATCCTGTTAACGCAGGCGTACCATATCATCTTCACCCATCTAAAAAAAACCTCTGTTGGGGAATTTTACTAATAGTTGTCAAAATTGGTAGGCAGGTTAGCAAACGCAATTAAGTTTTGGTGATGTTTTAAGAGAGACGCCTCTAGTTGCCTCTTATGAAACTCATTTACTAGGAGGGTTGACCCTAAATCAGAGGGACACTTTGTACAAAAGTCATTTGCTTGAAAAGCGTACTGCTGATCACACAACTGACATATCTGATGCTACAAATTTCTATCGTGCTTTGAAAGATGTAAGTAAAGTAAGACTATTTCTAATAACTAATGAGGAAATCGAACTGAGTTCATCGCAGATCCCAGAGTGTATCGTGCCATTATTAGGTAATGAAAGTCCATCAAGTTTTTACTGAGGAACCTCTGTCTCATTCGTGTTTCTACCGTGAAGCAGTTGTGTTTGCATGGTTGTGTTTCAGTTTGAAGGGAGGGATATGGCAGTAAATTTACAGGGTACAGAGGAATAACACCTGAGTTCTCAGGAATGACAACGCATGTAGGGTATCATGAGCGAAACAGTATACTCTGTTATGTCCATGGTACTGCTCATATCTATAGGTGATAACTACAGCTTTCCATCAGGTGGACCGTCCGTTTGTTTGCCACTCTAAGTAGCATAAAAAATAATAATAAAGAAACAGACAGGAGTTTGATTAATTAAGATTATTTGTGCATACCTAATTTATGAGCTCTGTCTAGTAATTGCTCAAAGTCTTCCATCGTTCCATATTCGTGGTGTATCTCGTAGAAGTTGCTGATGTCGTACCCAAAATCGTACATGGGAGACTCGAAGATCGGAGACATCCATATGGCGTTCACACCAGCATCCACGAAATGTTCCAATTCGTTTGATGTCAAAAAAAGAACAACTGTCCAACTCTGTTACAAAGAAAAGACATACCAAAGATGTTTATGAAAAAGCTAATGATTATAATATGGTAATATAATAATACATAATATTGCTGTTTTCAATAGTTTTTTTTGTTAAAGTGCATAAACAAAATGGCAGGCGGGGATTGATGGCTAATATGGAATGTTAGGGGGAAAGGGATTGTTAGTGATGGAGACTAAGAATCCCATTGCTAGCAATATACCCAACCAGGTCGATCTCTTTGCGGTTCTCCCTGGAAACTATCATGGTTAATTACTTGTGAATTCGTTATGATGGGCTAACTGGCCTGTTTTCATTCTCATCTATCACCCTTCACTGGTGCTCCGCCAGCGTATCCCGTTAGCGCAGGCGGGCTTAAAATACCATTTTGACCCATTAAAAGAAATATGGAATGTTTTGGAACTTCTGGTAAAAATATTAGTGGCCAATCTTCAAGTGTTGCCAGTCATATATATATATATATATATTAATGTTAGCGGAATTAAACAAAATAATTCTAACCAAATAACCAGTAATATATTTCACTCAATTTTGAAAGAAATGAGTGTAATATTTTCAAGTGACATCCAAAATAATTGGTTATTTTTATGGTTATATTATTATGCGATTACGACCCCATTTCACAACTCGTTTTGCAATCGATGGGGTCTGCTCCCGTAACGGCCCTGTATATTTTCCGATCCTAAATATTTAATACATTATGATATAAAATAAATATTTCATAATTACAAGACATAAATCAAATTATCATATAGTACCAGCCCATACCATCTGTTCACTGCTGATCATTGCCCCCCCCCCCCCCCATTTACTGTCATAAGGAACAGTCCTGAGCCACCTACATCCACTGATTCCCTGCAGAGCATTTGAGGTCGTCGCTCCAATTTTTGGAGGAGGGGGGAGGTCGTCCTACACTGCGTTTGCCTCTACGGGGTCGCCAATCAATACCATTAATATATTATTGTGGAATTGTAAAATTCGCGACTACATTTTATTACCGTAGTACTGTGCTGTTTAAAATCAAATCGTTTGTACAATTTGACGTATTTGAGGGACAACGGAAATGTTATTTCACGAATCAACAACATCAACAATGATTTATAAATCATCATCATTACTGCACTCTCGGTTATTATTTTTATATGTATTTCACTGTCATTTGCTTCATATTCTTGTTCGTGTTTTTATATTTCAGATACGTTATATACCCATATTGCTAACGACATGACCCGGCTTTGCACGGTCTTTTTTTTAAATAACAAACAGCCCATGTTATTAACGCATGGGGGGTGTCATGGGCGAAACAGTATACTTTGTTATGTCCCTGGTACTGCTCATGTCTATAGGCGACGGTTACCACTTTCCATCAGGTGTGCCGTTAGCTTGTTTGTCATTTTAAGTTGTATAAAAAAAATCAAATCTTTCCTGTTCACAATTCGAGTTCGGATATTATTTACATACAGTTTATTATTATTATTATTAAAAAAATCCATGCGCCGAGGGAACACCAATGCAATACGAGTATACCATCCCATTTTTTTATAACAAGGCTGTTGTAAATGACGACTAGGGGACTGAAGTATTATAGACTAATGAAAAGGAAAGGAAATTCGAAATAAAACCCTAAACCAGGCAGAGACCACAAACGGCGATAAGTGAAATTGTTTTTTTTTGATTTTTTTTTTATACAACTTAGAATGGCAAACAAGCTGACGGCCCACCTGATGGAAAGTGGTAACCGTCGCCTATACACATGAGCAGTGCTATGGATATAATATAGTATACTGTTTCGCCCATGATACCCCGCATGCGTTTGCATTCCTGAGGACTCAGGTGTTATTCCTCAGTACCCTGTAAATTCACGCCATATCCTACCTTTCAAACCGAAACACAGCCATGCAAACACAACTACTTCACGGTAGAAACACGAATGGGACAGAGGTACCCAAGCAATCGACTTTTGTACAGTCTCCCTCTGGTGTAATAGACTGCTTAGAAATTATTTATTTATTATTTTTACATTACAGCATTTATTTCTTATTTGTCAGAGATCCCTCTACAATCCAGGCAAAACTTGCACGTCGAAACGTTAAAATAATTTTGAAATTTACAGATAAAATTATGGTGTCATTTAATTTTAAATCACAAGAATAACATTTTTAATTAAACTTACTTCCTACCTCATTTCAATCTCCTTCCCTAAATCCGAATTTAATTAAACTGTGAAATACGTATTTTATAATTTATTTTCAAGTACCTCTAGCTGGTTTTCAATTAACAGAATCGGTATAAGTTTTGAATACTAGATAGAGCAAATTTACGTAATAATTATTATGAGTTTATGTCTGTGATCTTTTGCATACATCCTGTTGAATGCAAAAAGAATTATGAAAATCGGTTCAAAATTGATGACGTAATCGCGCAATATATTCACAGAAAATGTCAGACGAATTGACAACATATAATATAGAAGTCATTTTATAATTATTTTATTTATTTATTTATTTATTGTTTATGAAGGTTCTTTAAGGATTACTCATACTAATCACTAACATACCTTCATTATACTTTGTTGTATCATATATTTTATACAATAAATAATATATTTATTTTTTTACCATTATTTATTCTTTTTTTAATAAAAATAATAAAAAGTAAATAACATGTCATATTTTTAAAACATCGTATGGATATATTTGAATAATTAAAACGTCCAAATATTTTTTGATATTTTTAATATTTTATCGAATAAAAACATTTTTCTCTGAAGTCAACGTTTTAAATTGACTTTAAAATAATTGTGGGATAATTCTCGTATATATTTTGGAATATTATTTAATTATTTAAAATTTTATTCACCAATAAAATGTGGAACAAAAGGCAGACTTAATGCTATAGGCATAGATTATGTTATTTGTTTTTATTCTAGAATTTTTGACATACCTTGTAGATCTCCTATACCATCCCCATCACTGTCCTTGAAGGATCTGGGATATATCTGATATAGGACGCAGTGCTTCCACCATTCTATGGGAGTGATTTCAGCCACTTTCAAAGTTTCACTATCTGTTAACACAGCCCATGTGATGCCAACTGAAATATGCAAATTATATAGGTATCTAACTTATACTGTAAATTCTAACATTTGTAGGGATATTTTGACGTTTGTCACTTAATCACGATTAAATTTCTAAATGAAATTTAATGAAAGATTACACAAATAGATTGTATCTTGAACCAATTTACTGCATAAAATTTTACGCTTGTAGGCGGGTTGGCAACCACAATTAGGCTTATAGAGAATTTTTAGGACGAACGCTGCCGCCCATCCTTTCGCCTCTTACGACATTATCATGGGGTATCATGGGCGAAACAGTACACTCTGTTATGTCCACGGTACTGCTCATGTCTATAGGCGACGGTTACCACTTTCCATCAGGTGGGCCGTCAGCTTGTTTGCCATTCTAAGTTGCATAAAAAAAAACACTCACGGAAAAGGAACATGGACAATAAAGTCTGCTATTTCATATTCAGGATTCTATAAATTTTATAAATAGGAGATAATAATAAATACAGCATCAGACACCAGTTCAAAAGAAAATCTCGAGTTAAAACTCAATACAAATTCGTTTAGCCAACGTGTTAATAGTCAGCTAGTATCCTCCTTCTAGAGAGAGGGTTGGTAAGGGAGGAAGGAAGGGACAAAGTAAACATAATACAGAGTGAACAATTGAAATAAAGTCGTAATCACCTGCAATAAGACCTAAAACGCCCAACACACCGACTGTGAACCCGAACACTTGTACTGCCTTCATTGTGGACTGTGTAGGTGGATGCGCGCCGCTGTACTATTATAACGCGATCAAATACTATCATTATCTTGATTTGTACAATTTGTATATAATCAATCCGAGCGACAATGGTAGGCTCGCCAACAACCGCGTTGGTTTTTTTTTTTCTGAATGTGTTTGCTGTTGGCCGTGAGTGGTTTTTACAGCTTCACCGGACGCGAATGCAGGGGCGAGTGCTGATGGCGCTCCAAGCCCGCGAGAGGAGAGCGACAGAGGTGTCGACTCTTTCTTATGGACTGCAGTGACTCCAGAGTGGCTCGGCCTCGGCTTAGGCCACCGCACTTCGACCCCCGTCAAGGGACGGCGAAGGGTCGGTACGTCTGGGTGGGGACCGCGTTGGTTATGTTCGGTTAACTTATATATCATTTTTTAAAGATTTTTCTTGTCATTAATTTGTTGGTACACTGGTTTTTTGTTCTGTTTTTTTTTTTTTATTTTATTCATTATTTTTATACCTATTTATTAGAGTTTTTTTCTTAACTTTTTTAAGTAACATATATATATAAATATCTATATCAATATATATAAATATTTGATAATGAAACGGTGCCCCGTGTAGGTGCAAACTGAAAATCAGCGCTGAAGGAACATCAGTCCAGTAAAAGCTGAGTTTGTACCTATTGCCAATGGCAATTCTGTATGACCATAATAATTGGGCACGTTTTTATGTCCCGGTCCGGTTCTTTTTGTAGCCGGTGGATAGTCTAAGAAGAAAGGTTGTCTCTGCGGATATTTAGGTGAATAATTTTAGTTCGGGAATTTTTATATAATAAAAAAAAAGTATTATCGGATTTTTTTCTAAGGAGACATTTTATTTTATTTTTTTTTGTTTTAATTTTTTATCAATTATATTTTTCTTAACAATATTAATGTAAAGGGATTACATCTTTGTTTCGGTTCGAAATAATCGGTTGAAAAATAATAAAATTTAATATTAAGATTAGATTTTCTATGACTGAATGTAAAGCGAGCGGTATTTTAGCTTGCACATCTTTACTAAATCTGGCTCAGAGCTCTTACCCATCGAGCCACCTCTTCCTTAGATATCCGACGGTGCTGATTGACACGTTGAGTGACAGTCTGAGGTAAAGTACAGGCCAAAACTGTTAGCAGGTGGAAGCTAATTGGAACGGAGACGACAGCGAAGACAGGAGTTTTCGTAATTTCTTCCCCTGTGCAGTTTGAATGAGTATGGGACTTAAACAATTGTTGTTTTTTGATGGGTGAAAATGGTATGGTAACCCCGCCTGCGCTAACGGTATACGCTTGCGGAGCACCAGTGAAGGGTGATAGATGAGAATGAAAACAGGCCAATTAACCCATCATGATGAATTTATCAGGAATTAACCATGATAGTTTCCAGGGAGAATCGCGAGGAAGTCGACCTGGTTGGGTATATTGCTAGCAATGGGATTCTCAGTCTCCATTACTAACAATCCCTTTCTCCCCCTTTAACAATTGTTGGATTCAGTGAAATGAAAATTTTTATGAAATGAAATTCGGTAGCTAGTTCAGCAAGTTGTAACATAGAATTATGGATGTGAGAAGTGTGGGAAGAAGATTAATTTACCAGCTATCCCCCGTGTGCATCAGTATAAAGTATTAATTATTATTATTATAAAGGTGACCAACTATATACTCATTTACTGAGTTTTGTACTCTTTTTACGCAATCCGTACTCTTTTCAAATCCTATACTCTGAAAGTTCTCATTTGTATAATTTTATACCCATTTGTATTTCTAAAACATTTTTTTAGATTATTTTACAACATCCTCATTTAGCAAAAAAAATCTACTCCGAAGAAAAATATGTTGTCGATTCATAAAATATAAACAATATATAATTCTAAAATGTAAGAATAGAATTATATTTTAAAGCGACATGATTATTGTTGTCATAAATTAATATAACTTTTAAATATTAATATTATTATATAGAAAATTTGCTATTTTATCGAATTTTTAATTAAATAAAGTATGATAAATCTGTATAGGCAATAAAATTATTAAATGAAAGTGGACTCTAAGTCCAGTTTCATTTACAAATTTTGTAAATTATCCGTATCTATAATATAAACTTTCTTATTTTTATTGTAATTCTTATTTTTGGTATTATTTTGTGATTAATTGGTAGGTAAATGAGCTACAAGCATAACAGTCTTTAAATAACATTTTTCTATGTGTACGTAAACTGTCACACAATAATAGACTACAGACATTTTTGAAAAAATATCTGAGAAAACTGTCACGTAAAGAGATAATACTGTTCAAATTGGTGATAAAAAGATCTGTATCATTAGGTACAAACTGAAAATCAGCGCCCATCAGTCCAGCTGAGTTTGTACCTATTGTCAGGCATACGGGTACTTTATAATATATTTATTAATACATGTTCTACTAACCATTGTACCGTATTTGTAAAAAAATGGCAATAAACATAATTATTATTATGGTGAATAGATTTCTATAAGTTTTCTTCTTTTACTTCCACATTGGACTTGTTCTAAATATTTTATTTTTTGTAGAATATATTCATAAATCTGTTGCAGTTTTAATACTGGCTGTTGACACTGAGGTTTTTTAGAATAATGTATTATTTTTATATTTGTTCTATGTTAGATTTTCATAAAAGGTGCCTTGTATCTTTTGACTAAACTTATTATTTTATATAGAAAGAAAGAAAGAAAGAAAAAAAGAATGAAAGAAAGAAAGAAAGAAAGAAAGAAAGCATTTAATCAAAGAAGCATGCGGCCCACACAGTACGAGTAGCGCACAAAACAAGAACAAAAGAAATCAAAACAAAACAAACAAAAGAAAATAATAATTATATACAAATAGAAAGCGATTAAATTATAATAATAATCAATATACAAACAAACAAACAAACAGTAGGACAACTTTTGAATCCAACATGGATCTCAATCCAAATCTATTGCTAATGACAATTTAATACTACACTCATGTAATCACAAATACGTATATGTTTTATTACTGCATCCAGCTATTTACAATAAAATCACATGGCCACACGTTTTGTACAGTTATCTAGAATAAGAAATAATTATCTTCATGCTGTGAGATAAGTTTCAATAAGTTGTCAAGGTGTGTAATTAAACAGTTAATTAGAAACATTGTAAATCACAGCGCGCTATATTCGTAAGGCACATTTTCGAAACCAATTTAGCGTTGGGTGTCGTCGCCGATAGCTTTCTCTCGTACTCGTACTCCGATAAGTGGCCCTCGCTACCGAAATTGATTTTTCCATCGGATGTATATTTTTTCGTGAAATACATTAATCACGGACCGGTCTCGTTGTTAATTAATCACGTGGGTAGCAAAAAGGCACGGGCCCCTGTCGATAGCAGGGGCTCGCGCCCCGAATATCAAATTCCGGGGCCATTTATAAAGAAATTAAGCGGTGTGCACGTATAATCGAAATATCGAACGTTTCATTTCTCCACGATACACATGGCGGACGTGACGGCCATGCGGAATGAGAACTTGACGTTTGCCTGTCTCTGATTCGGGCTGGGCTTATATACTCTTATACATTACTTTTTTTTTTGTATATATATTAATTATTTATTTATTTATTTTTTAAGTATGTACCAATATTTAATGTATTATGTGTGCTGTGATGCAAATAAATTATATATCTATTTCTCCATCTATCTATGTATTATATCTATGTATCTATTCTTTAATATAATTCTTAATATTTTTTTTACCCCTATGTGGGTCATAGTCGTATATTTCTGTAAAATTAAGTTTCTTACTTTCTTTCTTCTTTCTTTCTTTTTCTGTATTAGTTTTTGACCGTTATTTCGCACACGTGGATTTTATAAGTAGGATAACTAATAAAATAGTTAATTTGTAGATGGCGTATCAAGATTAAACATATAACTATATTTAAATGAAAACTTCAAAAATACAAGTATGAAAATCGCAATAAAATCGGTGTACAAATGAATTTTTCAAAAATATTGTTTTTATATTAATTTTTTTCCTATTATTCATTTTTCTTAAATATTTCCAATATACAGACATCGACTACTAACAATTTTATTATATTAATAAGATAAGCTGTGTTATATAGCTTTGTTAATTAATTTACGTTGCTGACTGTACCGAATTTTCAGCCGTTTAAGCATGATTAAGTAGTAACCGTTCGAGTAAATATATATATATATATATCGTTTTGCTTCTCGGTACATAATAAAATTAATACTAATAGATAAAATAAATGTACAAGTATATAAGATTTACAAAATATGACAGTTTAAAAGTGCCTTAACTAAGGTGATTGATCACTAAACATAATTGAACACGAAACACTAGATGGCGCTAGTATCGAGACTTGTGGTTTTTGTAGATTATTTTGCAATTAAAGATAATTTGAGATAAAATTTAAAAATTGGCGAGTGTATTTATTTATTGTTTACCAATATAGTAATAATTTATTCTAATTTTTGTCTTTATTCTCCTGTATTGTACAACTAGGATTGTAGGCCATTTGGTACCGACATAGAATAGGCCACTTCTTCCTTTCCTGTAGGTATCGTAAGAGACGACTAAGGAAGGGTGAGATATGAGTAGCAGCATCCCTCTTAAAACATCTCTAAGCCTTACTGCGCTTGCCAACCCGCCTGCCAAGCGTGGCAACTACTGGCAAAACCGCCCAAGGGGGAGGCTTATGTTCAGCATTGGAGGGTTAAGGGCTAGTATAATTATGGTTGTACAACTTTCTAAAAAAAACACATACTAACAAGAAACATTCAATCGTCAATTTAGAAATTTTACTCAAATTATCTTTAAACCACAAGTATTCTAGCGCCATCTATCTCTTGTCTAGTTTTGTTTAATGACCAACCACCTTAAGTTAAGTTAATTTTAATTTAATTTGTCTGTAAATATTTATATACTAAACAAAATCTAAATCAATGGCATACAATTGAGGGAGTGTGCGAACTGAATATTTTCGCCAAAAGAAATATGGGTCAAGAAACTAC